TGTAATCGTAGCTACTCAGGAGGCTGAGATCTGAGGATCGAGGTTCAAAGCCAGCCCGGGCAGGGAAGTCCGTGACTCTTATCTCAAATAAATCACTAGAAAACCAGAAGTGGCACTGTGGTTCAAGCGGTAGAGCGCTTGCCTGAGCTGAAGAGTGCAAGGACAGCGCCCAAGCCCAGAGTTCAAACCCCACAACCAATTGAAAAAAAAAAAAAAAAGAACTCTGTCCACTCTCCAAGTTTACCTCTGTTGTTCCATATGCACACCTATCAGCTTTGAATAGTTTCTCCCTTTCCAAAATATGCCTTTGCTCAGTGTAATTCCTTTTTCTAGAATTGCTTTCTCCTTCCCTCCTACCTACCTGCTTGGCTAATTCTTATTTATGCTTAGGACTCAGTTCAAATGTAATCTTTTCTTGGAAGTTGTACCTGACCTCCTTTGCCTGCTCTTGCGTAAAATTTGATGCTCCAGTGAACCTACTTCTTTTCTCATCAAAACAAGCTTCCTGTGAATTATTCCATCACAGCCTGTATTTCAGTCTGTAAGACATTTTCATGTGAGTTCCCTGACACCAGGGGGGCTGACTTTTTTTTTTTTTTTTTTTTTTTGGGTCTGGTCATGGGGCCTGAACTCTGGGCCTGGGCGCTGTCCCTCAGCTCTTCAGCTCAAGGCTAGCACTCTACCACTTGAGCCACAGCACCACTTCCGGCTTTTTTCTTTTTGCTTATGTGGTGCTGAGGAATCGAACCCAGGGCCTCAGGCATGCAAGGCAAGCGCTCTACCACGGAGCCACCTTCCCAGCCCCCGTGACTTTTCTTTTTAATATATTACCAAGCCTCAGTAAATAAGCGAATGAAAATGAATGTCCCTGGAAACATCATTTCTTCTCTTTCAAAAAAAAAAAAACAAACTGGTAACTTAACAGTCCCTGAATTATCTGACATTTAGATACATTCAGAAAGTGACCCAACCCATGTTTTTCTTCCCTGGACATGCTTTCCATAATAGAGGGTACATCTTGTAACCTGTGACAGGGCTGGGCAATGAGTCACTAGGTGCCTACTAAGAGTTTTTTGAGCTCCTTCCTAGCTCCGGCTCCACTACCACTTCAGTTTTCAGCCCCACCCCATCCCTTTGCTCCTTAAGACATCAATCACAGCCCAGTCTAAAAGGCCAATTCTGTTTTATTGATTCTGATAGTCCAGAGGACTCATCCTATCCTTTGTCCCCCACTCTGCCCTCCCCCTTCCTGGGGACCTCTCCCACTACTATCTACTCACTATCTTCTAACCCTTCTTCGTCTTCTATTTGCTATGCTGCCATACTTCTGGCCAGAGAGAACTTCAATGCTGGTCCTTCAACTGTGGGGGCGTGTGCTGAGAACTAGGCAGAGGGAGCTGAGCCCAGCACCAGCCTTCTCCAGTTCTGAACAGGACACAGGTACCAGGGTGACATCAGAGAGCTTCTGCAATGCCTGCAGAGATGACCAGAAAAGGGGAGTAAGACTCTGAGGTCAGAACCACACCCTCCCATGCCAGCTCATAGTAGCTCCACCAAGGCATCTAGAGAAGGTATCATTCCTTCCTCCCACTGGAAAAGATGGAAACTTCTTTCTCAAATTGGTGGTGATAGTGATAGAGAGTTTTGCCCTCTCTCACCTCCTGGCTATTGGGCAGGTCCCCACCTCCACGATGCAAGAGAAAAGGGGATGCACCAGGCAATCCAGGGCGTAGAAATAGACAGTCAGCAGCTGCATCATCTGGGAGGGTCAGAGAGGCGTAGGGGTGATCTGTCAGCGCTGCCATTGCCTGGGAGAGAGGAAAGAGGATAAGCTTAAGTCTATACAATTGAGTTTGCCAGTCTTACCACAAACTAAGGGGCCTACTAAGAACCTGGGGCAGTTACACTTGTGGAATGACAACAAACACATGCTACTGTCAGATGGTGTCTTTAGGTAAAAAGGGCATTACTTAGCTGGGTGCTGGAGGCTCAAGCCTGTAATCCAAGCTACTCAGGAGGCTGAGATCTGAGGATCATAGTTCAAAGCCAGCCCAGGCATAACTGGAAGTGGCACTGTGGCTCAAGAGGTAGAGCACTAACTAGCCTTGAGCTTAAGAGCTCAGGGACAGAGCCCAGGCCCAGAGTTCAAGCCCCACGACAGAAAAAAAAAAAAAAGGACTTTGCTTCTGCTAATTTCTTCCTTGTTTTCATATATAGTTCTTCTCACCTGCAACCCTTTCCAGTTTCCACATGTCTATCCCATTCATTCTACAAGTCATAACTTAGATACTACTCCCTTTGAGAAGTTTCTGGAAACTTCCGAACAATTTCTTCACCTTTGTTCTCAACTCTCCGAGTTCTCGTCCCCTTACATATCCTATTGTTTGCCAGGAATGCTCTTGTTTACCAAGGAGGTCTTTCACTCTAGACAGCTCCGTGAGATCTAGGGCTAGAGCTTATTTCCTGAGCCCCAGTTCCCCAGGGAACCACGCCCACTTTCATTGGCCCCACCCTTCTCCATCCCAGCCCCACCCCTCCTCACCCTGACAGCCTTTTGCGAAGCCTCGCTGCTACCAGCCACCACCGTGCGGGGTCCCCCCATGCCGCAGAGGCCGCGCAAGTGGGAGGGGCCGGAGACCGGCACAGTGGAGACAGCAAAGTCCTAGAAAGAGCAAGAGGAGGCATTCAGGGTTAGGGGAGGGGCGAGGGGGTACCCTCAATCACAGGCTGCTGGCTCGCAGCTCTTCCTCCCCAGAAGGCCCCCAGGCCGCCCCTACTTGCACCTGCGCCGCCCCCCCCCCCCCCGCCCCCAGCCGGCTCCCTTCCAAGGTTTTTCACGCTCCTCACCCGAAACGTGTCGGCCACGATCTCAGCGCCTCGATGATTGGTCCACTTGGAAAGGCCTACGAAAAACTCCCGGCCTGAGCCAGGAGAGACCAGAGGTTTGAGGGCTGGCTTGAGTTTGGAAACAATGGCTTGGACCGCCTGTTTTCCAAAACATGCTTTCTGGTGCCCAGCCCCCAGGGGTGCTGAGCACCCGCAGCCTCACCGGTGAAGAGAACGTCGGTGCCATCCAGCGTCGCGTTCTCATCTCCCATCTCTACGATTCGGAGCCCCAAATCCTGAAGGGCTTTGCGGACTCCATCAACCTTAGGGCAGGAGAATAGAGGACACGACTGAAAACCCAACTTCCAAATCTCCCCCCAAACTCGAGACATCCGTCTCCTCCGGTCTTTGCTCACCACGCCCGGTGCCCTGGCACTCACCTCAGGCCTCCGGGCCGGGCTCCAGGGCCGCGTGATTAGGGCCGTGTCCCCTTGGATCACCGCCGTGTCACCAAGCAGCGGTCCCAGCGGCAGCGATTCTTCAGGGGGCAGTTCTACCAGCTGCAGCCCTAGTCGCTGCCTCAGTTTACCCCCTAACACCCCATGTTCCCTTTGAGCTTTGGCTAGATCCAGAGCCGGAAGACCTGCCCCTGCACCTTCCCCCGACGCCAGGCTCTCGGGGACACCCCGGATCAGGGCATGGGAGCAGCGACCCAGCCCCTCCCCTGGCGTCCCCATCCCATCCACACAGACGCCCCTTCCGGCAAGGCTGATTACTCTCTTCTTTTTCACTTCACCCTGTCTTGGAGAGGAGACGAGAAGGAAGGGTAGCAGAGGAGGAGACGTTTAGAGAAGGGCGTGGGGGTCGTCTTCCTGCTCTCTCCAGGCGCCCCTCCCACTCGGCCCCACCCCCTCCAGACCTGGCTTTGGGGTCGACCCCGCTCCACCCGGCACTCTCGTGGATCAGCTTCTTTAAGAAGAGCCCAAGAAAACAGGACTGGGATCCCTAATCTCCAAAACACCTGTTGCCCCTGCGGCGGGGCCGGGAGAGGGGATGGTGGGAGAGGGAGGGAGGGCTCGGTGAGGTTCCCTGCCGGGCGCCCCTCTTGGCAACCGCTAGGATGCGCTCATTCCCCAAAAATGCGGCGGCCCCGCCCCCTTAACCCTCAGCTGCTCGCCGCTGGAGGGACCCGAAGTCCGGCCAGGGACCCACCGGGGGCTCGGGCACAAGAGGAGAAAACTGGGGGACAGAATCGGAGCTTGGGAGACGGAAGTCCTGAATCCCCGAAGGAGAAGAGGAGACGGGACAGGGAGGGCGGAATTAGAGCCTAAGGAGTTAAGCATCCTCTTCACCTCCCGGGCTAGTTACGCTGACCCTGGCGCGACCCAGTATAAACCAGACTTGAGTCCCGGAGGACTGGGAGAGGTCTAAACGGAACCCGAGGGGCGGAGAAACGGGGGGGCGTGGTTCTGGGGTGCGGGCACCACTCTGGGCTCCTGGACCTGGTACTCCAGATGTCCATCTTCCACCAAAGTCCACCGCACCCAGCTCCGCACCCAAACAACGGGTTCCCCGCACACTTCAGTACAAGCGTGGGCCCAGCATATCCAAACTCCAGCCCCGATTTGGTCCCAGGGTCAGACTCACCTCCAGCACCACCACCACCACCACCTCCGCACTGTGATATCGCCTTGAGCCCCACCCCTAGAGGAGTTGGTGGAGAGTCCTAGTTTTCAAGCGAGGGGCACCGGGAGCTTGGATTTGGAGAGGGTCCTTGGGTAGGCGAGCTCACGTAGTAAGATGGGGCGGGGGCGCGAAGGTCTGGCGACTCCCGGGCATTGTCTAAGCGGGACGGGGCGGGGCCTGCCTAGACCACGCCCATTCCGCCCGATCAGGCCGCGCCCACCCCACCAGGACTTCGTCTCCCCACCACCTCCTTCTCCTCCCCCGAAGTTGGCACCGCCCCTCGAGCCACCGCTGTTCTGGCCCACCCAGATCTGTTTGGCCCTAGTGGCGGGGCTGCAAATGTGGCCTGGACCATAGGACAGAACTATGGTGAACTTGCACTAAGAAAATGGCAGCCCCCTATTTAATTCGTGGCTTTTACCCTGAGCTCAAAATTACTGTCAATGCCAACCCCACTTTATATTCCTTTGTGTGAAAACAACACTATATTTCATTCTGCATTTTATTACTGAAATACATTGTCTTACCCACCCCACCCCACAATAAAAATCTTACCCTTATCCCCTTTTTCTCCTAACCCCTATTCCCCTACCTCTGCACAAGTGCCCCAGGTTTCTTTGCCTACTACAAGTTTTGGAGTGTGTCCATTTGGATAGCAATGTGGAAATTACCCCGGGGCTCTCTGCAGAGCATAAGGGATGATATTGCCCTAGGAGGAACTTATTTGAGGGCCTTGGCCACTTGCTCATAGGCCAATTCTATCTCTTCGTCATCTGGACAAGTGGAGGCAAATTCTTCCCGAGCATAGGCATTGCTCAAGTACCGATGTACTCCTCGAAAAGCCTCAGGGATGGTGAATCCCCTGTACTTCTTACATACCACCTGGAGAGAGGAGAGGACACAGACATGTTAGCCCCACAAAGGTCACTTTGGAGGCCATGCTATTATTAACCTTCCCTTTCCCCAAATTCACATAAAATCAACCTTTTTGTTCAGGCATGCAAGAACCTCTACATTTAAATTTTTTTGGTGGTGGTACTGGGTGGGGTTTGAACTCAGGACCCTACATTTGTTACACAGGTGCTATAGCATTGAACCATACCTCTAGCCTTCAGATTTGTTTTTTTCCAGTCCTGGGGCTTGAACTCAACGGCTGGGCACTGTCCCTGAGCTCTTTTTGTTCAAGGCTAGCACTCTACCACTTGAGCCACAGTGCCACTTCTGGCTTTTTCTGTTTATGTGGTACTGATGAATTGAACCCAGGGCCTCATGCATGCTAGGCAAGCACTCTTACTATACTGAGCCACATTCCTAGCCCCAGATTCATTTTTTTTTTTTTTTGAGACAAGAATCTTACTACATAGCCCAGGCTGTCCTATGACACTTTGTAGCTCTGAATGGCCTCAAATTTGAGATCCTCCCACTACAGCCTCCTGTGTGATAAGATTATAGATATGTGCCACCATGCCCAGTGTCTTCCTACAGATTTTTATCTCCCACATGAAATCATATTGGCTTTTTCAACTCTATTCTCTTAATATTTCTTTCTTTCTTTTTTCTTTATTGGCAGTACTGGGCTTGAACTCAGGGCCTGGGTACTATACCTGAGTTTCTTTTGTTCAAGGTTAGCACTCTACCACTTGAGCCATAGCGCTACTTCTGGCCTTTTCTGTTTATGTGGTACTGAGGAATTGAACCCAAGGCTTCATGCGTGCTAGGCAAGCACTCTACCACTAAGCCACATTTCCAGCCCTTAATATTTCTTTATCCCTCCTCTTCCCTTATTGAAATCCCTGCCATCAATAACCAGCCCCTTTCCAAACCACTAATTCCATGGGTTAACTTATTTCCTGCCTTAAAAAAAGAAAAGAAAAATAGACTGGGAGTGTGGTTCAGTGGCATAGCACATGCCTAGGTTACAACCCAATATTTCTCCTCCTGAATTTCCATAGTGATTTTTTTTTTCTTTTTCTTTTTCTTTTTTGTTGGTTGTGGGGCCTGAACTCTGGGCCTGGGCGCTGTCCCTCAGCTCTTCATCTCAAGGCTTGTACCTTACCACTAGAGCCACAGTGCCACTTCTGGCCTTTTCTGCTTATGTGGTGCTGAGGAATTGAACCCGGGGCCTGATCATGCATTTGAGGCAAGCATTCTACCAATGAGCCACTTTCCCAGCCCTCCATAGTGATTTTTGTTTGTTTGTTTTTTGTCTTTTGCGAGTCCTGGGGCTTGAAATCAGGGCCTGAGCACTGTCCCAGAGCTTCTTTTGTTCAAGGCTAGCACTCTATCACTTGAGCCACAACGCCACTTCTGGCTTTTTCTGTTTACTTGGGACTGAAGAATTGAATCCAGGGCTTCATGCATGCTAGGTAAGCACTCTATCACTAAGCCACATTCCCAGCCCATCACAGTGATTTTTATCTCTATTTTTCATTTGACTTTTAGTCATGTATTATTACTTAACTTTCATGTGAATGTTCTGTCTTCTGATTTCAATCCTTGATGGGCAAGGGTCATTCAACTAACTTCTTTTATCATTGTTTTTTTCTTTTTCTTTTTTCCTTTCTTTTTCTTTTTATTTTTTTGTGTGTGTGTGCCAGTCCTGAGCTTGAACTCAGGGCCTGGGTGCTATACCTTAGCTTTTTAATTCAAAGCTGATACTCTACTACTTGAGCCACAGTTCCACTTCCAGCTTTTGCTGGTTAATTGGAGATAAGAGTCTCATAAACTTTCCTGGCTGGCTTTGAACCATGATCCTGATAGCTCAGCCTACTAAGTTTTCTAACATTACAGGTGTGGTCACCAGTGCCTGGCCCTTGTCTTTTGATGCCTATTGTTTACATGTTCTTCAATTGTACAGCAAACTGACATCAGGCCTATGATTCAAGAACTATACTAGTATTTTTATGGGAAGCAGCAATTTTCATCTTCCTCAAGAAGAAGTGGAAACTGAAGCATAAAGCTAGCTGCAGCTTTGACTTAGAAAGATTGCTCTATCTCATCTAGCTGACACAAAGGCAGGAAGAACCTTCTTGAAAATAATCCTGGAGTATGTTACTCCTGACCAAGCCCTGTGACTGAATGTTGAGCAGCAACTGATATGGACTAGATTGGGTCTCAGTGGTAGCAATGTATGGAGACTACTTGAAGAAAAAAAGCATCCTTTAGACTTGTCAAGGGGACTCCATGGAGTAACTCCTTAAGATGCCACTCCAGCTTCCATCTTCTCCCATGGTGACCACCTACCTGTACTATGTGGAGCTTTGGCAACAGGTTGCAGTCAGCCAGGGTGAGCTCATTGCCATCCAGAAATTTTCTTTGAGAGATACCTTCATCTTCTGCACTGGTCTCATCCACTTCTTCTGGGAGGGGGGATGTCAGGTAATTGTCTAAGATCTTCAGGGCTTTCAGGAGTCCCTTCTCCAGATCTGTGCAACATTAAAACATTAGGAACACTGAACATTGGGAAAAGGCATAATCTGTCCTATAAGACCCATTAGTAAGGTAAGTTCAAATAATAGCAAACAAGGCTGAGGAGGTAGTCCAGTGGTAAAGTAGCATGTGGAAGACCTGGATTTAATACCAAGGATTACCCAAAAAAGTGCTTAGCATAACAGATACAAGTGCTGCAGGCCAGACCTCAGTATAAGAATGCTTTGCCTAAGAAGGAACTAGTCCTGAGTTCACTTCCTAGTACTGTCAAAAAAATAAAAACAGAAACCGAAAACAGATGCCAGGTGATGGCAGCTCGTGATTATAATCCTAGCTACTCAAGAGGCAGCAATCTGAGGATCGCACTTCAAAGTCAACACAGACAGAAAAGTCCCTGAGAGTCTTACCTCCAAAAAACTACCAAAAAAGCTGGAAGTGGATCTGTGGCTTAAATGGTAGAGTGCCAGCCTTGAAGAAAATAATCCTAGGACAGTGCCCAGGCTCTGAATTCAAGTCTCAGGATTGGCACAAACAACAACAACAACAACAAAAATAAAACCAAGTCAGTCCTGGTACAACTAGCCTTAAAAAAAAATCCAGAAAACTGACATTACTAGTGGCTATTATTATTTTTTCAAGGTGGAATGCTAGATTGAACGTAGGGCTTCACACAGGCTAGGCAAGCTCTGGACTACTCAGTTCCCTTCCCAGTTCTCTAAGCATTTTAGGAATAAAACTTATTTAATTCTCATATCAATACAGGAAATAGGTATTATTATACTCCTATTATAGATCTAGAAGTGCATTTATAGAGAGGCTAAATAAATAGCTCAGAGTTGGGTGCCAGTGCCTCCCACCTGTAATCCTAGATACTCAGGAAGCTGAGATCTAAGGATTGCAATTTGAAGCTAGCCTGGGCAAGAAAGTCTGTGAGACTCTTATCTCCAATTTATCATCAGAAAACCAGAAGTGGAGCTGTGGCTCAAAACTATTGAGTGCTAGCCTTGAGCAAAAAGCTCAGGGACAGTGCGCAGGCCCTGAGTTCAAACCCCATGACCAAAAACACACACACAAAAACTAAACAAAACAAAAAAAAAATCAATGTCCCAAGAGAAGGAAGGGAAGAAGAGGGTACGAACAAATGAAAGAGCTTTAAAGTCTCTGCCAATGAGAAGGCAGGAAAATATAGGGGTAAAGCAAAAATGGAGGATTGGAAGACATTTGCCAACATCTGCTCCATCTCAGCCCCTCCAGATGCCCCTGATGCTTCTCAACCTTAGGTCTTCTCCCTTGAGGACTCAACCTCTAACTCATAAAACTCACTGTCATTGAGTGCTGGATTTGAATTCTTGATGTAGGCAGAAAATTTGGCAAATATGTCCAACCCAGCTGTGTTGGACTCAGGGTTCAGAGCTGCCAGCTTTGGGTACCTGAAAGCCAGTGGAAGGAATATGGTTAAGATTCTTTCCCAACAGGAATGGAACATCGGCTAGTTCTCCTGTCCCATCCCTGACCCTCCCCCCCCATCTCTGTTTTCCACTCCTTCAACTTCTCTGTTCTGCCCTCTCCCCCTTCCCATGTGTCCCAATACCTGGGAGGGCACAGCACTGCCTCTAGAAATTCCTCAATCTTGTTGGTGTCTGTGTGTACTTCAGTGCCATACAGCAGGAATGGGAGCTGCCCTCCTGGACACAGCTTCTGCACCGTCTCTGTCCGCCTGGGGACCAGGCATCAAGACAGGAAAAGAGGGTCAGGAAGAACTCGAAAGGATGGAGAGATGGAGGGAGAAAAATGGGCTCCAGATGGAGGGGGAAAAAGATTGTTTAGAGGAACAAAACTGTGCCCACCTTTTGGTGTCAACCGTAGTGACGTTGAAGGTGACTCCTTTGAGCCACAGTACCATGAAGAGCCTCTGGGAGAAGGGGCAGTTCCCGATCTTGGCCCCATCACTGCCAGCCTGAAAGGCAGTCCCCAGCCCCGAAGTTAGACTTGGTGCATCCGACTTCTCCCAGGTCATTTCAGATTAGTTATGTTCACCTAGTCCTCCCCCACCCCTCTCTTTCCCTCCCTCCCACTAATAGCTACTCTCAGAACTATGCTCTTCCCTTTAGGCCTGAGTCAAACAACTCCTTTTCATCTCAGCAAAGGGAGAGATTAAGGAGAGATGGGAGAAAGCAGAGGTCTTGGGGAATCTTGAGGGTATTAATCATAGAGACAAAGATATAGAATTATAGGCTAGAGTCTTAGACTCCTGAGTTCCTAAGACAGGTGAAGTGGGGCCTGGGTAAGCCAGTGTTCATTCAGGCTCATTACATTTCCATCCAAGAGGTTTCTGGCAGCTGGGGGTGGGGACTCAAGGGTCTAGCCTAGCCCTAGAGATGTGGAAGGCTTTCTGGAAGGGGCTGCCTTCTAATTGGCAAGCAGTGACCTCATCCCCCAAGGGACACCTCCCCCTAGACTGGGTGTGATTCATGTCTCCGTGTCTCTAGCCTCAGCTGCTTCCTTCCTGGCAATCAAGTGGGGGCAGGGACCTAGGCAGCTGAGGCCTGGCTAGCTAGGATACCCCATTAGCCTCCTCCTTAAGCCCCTGTTTCCCACTGCTGGCTCTCTAAGTTACAAGGTCCAGATAACTTCCACACAGGACACAGGCAAGAATCTCAATGCACCCAGGAGTAAAAATAGCCCCAAAGGCTAATGGGAAAGTGGTGGGGACCACACCTAAGGGGGCGGGCCCAGGCTCCAGTTGACTTCCCTGGATGTAGCTAGGGAGAGGGAATGGCTGCCCAAGAACCCTCAAGCATAAAGGAGAGAGAAACAGAGACACACAAAGGCCAGTCGGACAAAAGCGAGAAAGTGGAGAAAAGAGGATGCAGCAAATTGTAGGGTGGGGAAAAAGAAAGGTGAGCAGAGTAAGGGAAGCTGCGGGGAAAGAAGGGAAGGAGAGAGGGAGGGGCAGAGACCAGGTCCAGAGACCAGAGAAAGAATGTTGCCCTGGAGGGGAGGGGACGGGCAGACTCAGGAAGGCTTGTAGCCTGCGGTTTCCATACTCCACAGCCAGGGGCCCACCTCCACGCATCCACAGAGACCGAGACACAGACTGGCCGAGAGCTGGGTTCAATCTTTATTTTTTCTGCATCTGTGCCTACCCCATCCTGCTTCTTGAACTGGATTCCCACCATTGGCTTTGCTTTCCACCCCATCAATTCTTGCCAGTTTTTTCCTTCTTCCATTCCCCCAGTCTTCCTGTAACACACCCTCTTCTTTGAATCACACACACCCCCTCCTTCTTACTTTTATGAGAATGTTCTAGCTATTATTTTCCTCTCTCTTTCCCAGACTCTACGGTGCAACTCCTTCCCATTTTTCTCCTCTTTCATCCCTGGGAAGACTTCACCTACTTCTGAAAACTCCCTTTTTTCTCCACCTTTACTCTGCTGTAGGCCGCTGGAAACTTGCAGGCTCTCTACAAACTTTTCAGGGTCGGATCTGGAGCTCTCCCGATGGGTCCACAAGGTGTCTTCGCCTCCCTTAACACCCCCTCCCCCAGATGGCACGTGGGGTTGGGGAGGGGGTCAAGAGGAAAGAGATTGGGGAGTTCCGACGGAAGCTGGGAAAAGGGAAAGGCTGGCTTCTAGGAACCCCGAGGGTGGCCATGGGAAGAGAAGGCGTTCTTACCTTCACGAACAATTCGACCTGAGGCTGTTCTTCGGCCATGGTTGCGTCGGGGACCAGGAAGCGGCCGTCGTCGCTGGGGGAACTGGGAGGGGCTGGGCCGGGGAAGGCGGGTCTCAGGGTCCAGGGATTCTCTCCAGACCCAGGGCTGTCCCCTTAGCGCCTTACGATTGTGATCAGACCCGTTCCCTCCAGACAAGGCCTCCCCACTGGCCCAGGGCACCTCACACCCAGATCCTCCAGCTCTGTCCCCTCTCGGGCTGGCTGTGGGAGCCGCTGACTCACCGGCCGGCCCCGCCCTGGACCTGGGGAGGGGACAGGAGGGGGCGGGACTGCACAATCTAGGGAGTGGGACTGGAAGGGAGGGAGGTTCTCAGGTCTCCCAGAGGCCCAGGGATGGGGGGGGGGAGGGTGTTCAGTAGGAGTCTTGGGAATAACTCCTTGTTTCTTTGATTTTTTTTTCCTGAACACAGTATTTTTCCCCTGCCTCAGTTTCCCTGCTTCACTTCACTCACCAGGTTTATCCAGCCTCACACAGGAAAGGGGGACACACTAACAGCTGGAAAATATCAATTGAAGATGCAAAAATTATATATATTTACATATAAATATATATGATTCTGCATTCCCTTCAAACTCTGCTCCAAATTCTGGGATGCTAGGACTCAGGAGGAGAATTTAGTTTTTGGAGTTTTTTTTTTTTTGGGTCCGGTCATGGGGCCTGAACTCTGGGCCTGGGCGCTGTCCCTCAGCTCTTCAGCTCAAGGCTAGCACTCTACCACTTGAGCCACAGTGCCACTTCCGGCTTTTTTCTTTTTGCTTATGTGGTGCTGGGGAATCGAACCCAGGCCCTCATGCATGCAAGGCAAGCGCTCTACCACTGAGCCACCTTCCCAGCCCCAGGAGGAGAATTTAGAAGTAGAAGCTGGGACTGGAAATGGGGAAGGGTAAAAAGTAGTGCAGGGGATGAAAGTGAGGTCAGAAGGTCTGGTGATGGGGAAAGAGGAAGCTGAGCTGTGGGGCTTCATTGGCACCAACAGGTCCCCAGCTTTAGTGCTTCCACTTCTGTCCCTCATTGGGGCCCCTTCCTGTGCCCCTTGACCTGTGATTGGTAAGGTTGCCTTGGAGATGGTGGAGTTATCTTAGCCCTGAGTTAGAGCTTCACTGACCCTAAGGTAGGTGGGATTGTAGCAGGTTCAATCTTGGGGATAAAGCAAAGGTCAGGTAGAAGAGTGGAAATAAGAGGACAGAAGAATAGGGCTCTCCCTTTCCAGTAACCTTGATTTTGGAGGTATTGTCAAATTTGATGCCCTCCTGAAAAAGCTCCAAAATATATTCCACAGCCATAGTCAGAGCTACACACTCCCCTCCTGTCCAATCCTCCTCCCCCCCCTCCCCAGTGCCAGTCCTAGGGCTTGAACTTATGGCCTGGGCATTGTTCCTTAGCTTTTTTGCTGAACGCTGGTGTTCCACCACTTGAACCACAGCTCTATTTCCTGCTTTTTTTCAGGTTAATTGGAAATAAGAATTTCAGGGATATTTTGGACTGGGGCTGGCTTTGAACTGGGTTTCTCATCTCTCGGCCTCCTAAGTAGTTAGGATTATAGGCATGAGCCACCAGCATCTAGCTAGTCAGGATTACAAAGGTGAACCACTGGTGCCCAGCTCCAATCATTCTCTTTTCTACTCACCAGAGTAACTAAAGATCTGTAGTCCAGCATGGTGGATTGCAAGGCCATAGAAGCCAAACCAAGTTTGAAATATAAGGAAAGGAAAGGCTCGGGGAAGAGTGGGGTGGAGTAATGCAACAGTACTACTGGAAATCAGCAGTTAGTGGTTTCCTCTTGTGCTTCCTCTTCTGAGGGGTTTTCTTCTCTCTGGGAGGAGGTTTATCTCTCTCTCCTCCCAGGAAGAGGTAATCTATTTATAGTGGTTCCTTCCTTGAACTGCAACAATTTGTATAAGGTTGTAGAATGAATTCCTAGTGTGTATGTGTGAGTCATCTTGGTAGAGACCCTTCCCATGATGGGAGTGGGGGCTGAAGCAATCTTACTTTCCTATTCACCCTTCAGTGTCCATTCAAGGATCTGCCACTTCCACCTGTCCACTCCCCCCTTTTACCCTCTTTCCCCCCAAAAAAAAGATCTCTGGGAGAAGCTCAGGTATATGGGGCCAGCTTTAGGCTCAAACAGGTTTGGTAGCCTTTCCCCTGACTGTTTTTCTCCTACAGCCAGCTGCCTGGATCATCAATATTGACTTTGACTGGCTGGTGTGGCAACCCTTGTATCTTGCCTGAACTATTTAGGTGGCAGGCTACGCTGCCCTCTTCTGGAACCACCCAGCAATGCCTCCTGGATTGGACAACGGGCTGTGAATCAGAGAAATTTCACTCCCATCTCATCTCTTTGCCCTTGATTTTCTTCTCTCAATAGGGTCTCCCCTTTCTTTTGGGCAAGCTTCTTTTGCCAGGCCGCTTCCGCTTCCCAATAAACCAGTCCCTTAATCTTTTCACACCCTAGATTGAAAGGTGTGTCCCTCCCTGCCACTCCCCAGAGCTGTCACCAGCCACCTGCAGGTTTTCATTGCTCCTGTTGCTCAACAATTTGCCATGGATAACCATTAACCCAGCCTTTAACTCTCAGCCCCTCCACCTTTCCTATTGGAGGGGATTTTCCAACTACTGGTCAGTATAGCCAGGTCTTCTGATACCTTTACTAACTTCTCCTTAAAGCTGAGGAGAAAGATTATTTAAGTGATTTATTTATTTATTTTGCCAGTCCTGGGGCTTGAGCTCTGGGCCTGGACACTGTCCCTGAGCTTCTTTTTGCTCAAGGCCGGCACTCTACCATTTGAGCCACAGAGCCACTTCCAGCTTTGTTGTTGTTGTTGTTTGTTTATGTGGTACTGGGGAATCGAGCCCAGGGCTTCATGCATTTTAAGCAAGCACTCTACCACTAAGCCACATTCCCACCCCTATTTAAGATATTGTTAATAAGTATTTATTTCTAACTAGGAGCCAGTGGCTCGTACCCATAACCCTTCGTTACTTAGAAGGCTGAGATCTGAGAATTGTGGTTCATAACCAGTCCCAGCAGGAAAGCTTGTGAGATCTTCTTCTCCTCCTCCTCCTCCTCTTCCTCCTTTTGTCATCCTGCAGCTTGAACTCAAGGCCCAGACACTGTCCCAGAGATTCTTTGGCACAAGGCTAGCATTTTACCACTTGAGCCATAGTGCCACTTCCAGCTTTTTCTGAATAGTTTATTGGAGATAAGAGTCTCATGGACTTTCCTGTCCCTGGCTGGCTTGGAAACATGATCTTTAGGGGCTGGGAAGGTGGCTCAGTGGTAGTGCACTTGCCTTGCATACTCGAGGCCCTGGGTTCGATTCCTCAGCACCACATAAGAAGAAAGAAAAAAAGCTGGAAGTGGCCCTGTGGCTCAAGTGGTAGAGTGCTAGCCTTGAGCTGAAGAGCTGAGGCACAGTGCCCAGGCCCAGAGTTCAGGCCCCACGACCGGGCCCCCCCCCCCAAAAAAAAAAAAAAAAAAAAAAGCTCAGGTACAGCACTCAGGCCTTGAGTTCAAGCCCAGACCCAACACGTGTGTGTCCTCATAAATGCCTCCCTTGTCTGCACTCCTCCCTCTCCCCCCAACACTCATAATTAAGCTTCATGAAACAGAAACAAACTTTATTAAGTTCATCACTTGGAGCTTATCACCTGTTCCAGAGAAGGCACTAAATAGCTGCTGAATGAATGAATGATACTTCTGTCATTAGGGGAATGCCCTGGGGTGGGGAGGCATGTGTAAGGTCCGCTCCTGGATGGTGAGCCGACTCCACCCTCCTCACAGCAAAGTTTCTGCCCAGTTCCTATGTTACCTAGGCAACCGGCACACCTGGAAGAGGTCACGTCTGCATCTGCTGAGGTCACATCTGAATTAGATGTGACCACACCTTTCTCCGCCCATACCTTTGATAAGGCCTAGCCCAGGCCCAGAAGCCCTCTTTCCCAGGTCTTTCCCAGCCTCGGGGAGGGCCTACATGACCTGGTGCCAGCCAGAACGATGAAAAAACCTACCCCTTACCTGAATACCACATGCATGGGGTGGTTCTTACTCGGCTACCTCTTTTTAAAAACCTAACTATTCACGTAACTCTATATGGGTTTAGGTGATTTCATTAGATCTAGTATTTAAAAATTTGATGTAATTTGAGTATTTCCACCTCCTGGGAGGGGTATGAAATAAATAGATCCCATCGCGTCTTTGTGGGGGTGGTCATAGCGAGCACGCAGGAAACAGGCAAAATAAGGTTAAAATAGGAGTCTTGTTTCTTATTTCCACTTGTTTATTTAAAACACTTATGTAGCTCTCACTTTGTTTGCCAGGCACTGTTCAGAGTTCTTTATAAATATTAACTCGGAGCAAACATTAACTCAGAGTTGTCGGCCAGGATTGAATTAATTTTGCTTCTCTCCACTCTCGGGGTGGGGGGGAGTAGAGGGGGGGGGGGAGGGGAACGTAGGCGAAGAAAGAAAAAGGCCTCCGTCGCTTTAAGATCGGCTATAGCTAACCCCTCCTCCTGACCGCGGCAGACCCTACCCCAAGCGGAAGTCGAGCTCCGCCAGCGGTCTCCTCCCCCCCCCCCCCCCCCCGGTTCCGCCCCGCGTCAATCAAAACCCAGAGACACCGCGAATCTCAGACCCCGCTGCTAAGCAACGGCAAATGGCGGGAAGTTTGAAAGTTTAGGCAGCGCCCCTAGTGGGGAAAAAACCAATCAGCGCCCAGACCCTTCAGCGGGAACCGCCTCCTTCCCGCCTTCGTCGAATCTCTAGATAGGATCCGAGACTCTCTAACCAATAGCTATAAAGAGAGTGAGAAGTCTGCGCGCGCATTCCGCCCACGCCCTGGCAGCGTCCTTCCCGGCGGCTTAGGGCAGTTGGCCTGGGGGGCGGTCTCGAGCTCCTCCCCGTCGCGTGACGGAAAAGGCGGGAGAACGCCGCGAGGAGGCTGCTGTGGTGGGTGGGGATAGAGCGTGACGCTGTGGTCGTGGGGCGTGGTTGGTAGCAGCGGAGAGGTTACACTTCCACAGGTCTTCTCTCCGGACCTTCAAAGCTCCCCGCTTCCAAACTACAAAATCCGTGTGACAGAAATGAGGGTGGGGCGCACCGGGGCCTCCCAGTCTTACTCCCGTGGAGCCCCTGCGAAGCCCCGGCAGCCTGCCTCCTCTGCCGTCACCACAGCCCTCCGCGCCCCTGCTAACGAAAT